CAAAAAATAGCACTTCTGTTTTTCTCTTCACCCACAATGGCAATTACCATTGTATACAAGAAAAACAAAATATTAGCAAATCACAAAAAGTAGACTCATCTAGATAAAATTTACCTATAAAGTAAATGAAGTGAATAACAACAGTCTCTTCTTTTCATTTTAGTTAGAGGCATTGCGACTTTGTCTATCGACCGAGTCACTGTATGTAATGACTGATCTATTTCGAAGCTTTACTCTTTTGTTTCATTATCGATGACTGTTAGCACGAGTGTCGAAGAAACTTGATGAACCATATTAAGTTAAGGGGTCCCTGAAAGATGAAATTTCTTTTTGGAGCATTCAATCTTGATGAAATTTCAAGTAGAGGTGTATCTCGAGCTAGACACCTCATAATAAAAACCTCAACTCGACAGATTGAGTCTACGAAGAATTACCATAATATTATAGATCAAAATTTAGGTTTATATGCATCTCAAAGTTTTCCATCATTTCAAATGCAGGTTGTGGATGTGAGGTGTGGACGTAGACTTGAGTATGAGTTCGAATGTGAGTTTGTTTATGAACCTGAAGTGAGTGTCTATCCGCTATCGCTGCTTCCTCACATCCAAAATCTCTTGCAGGTACTTCGCGATATTGTACATTCATTTCACTACCCCACATCTCTGATTCTCCACAGAAGGAAGTCAGAAACACATATGCGAAAACATTCTATTTCAGAATACAACCGTTTGCGTAGATACATACATATATGATCTATCATTTCCTGAACTACCGGTTCTCAAAGTTTTATAGAGTTCTAGAAAAGAGTCTGACAAGGCTTCGGCCCACAAATCGGTATAAATGAAGAAAGTCAAGGTGCTCGACAATATAACATAATATTGCACTAGCAAATAATATCGCAAAAAACTTGATCACCTATGAACTGTCTGGTAAAAAAAATTGTCGTAAATCAATTAAAAATAGAGTAGAAAACAAAGGATCTCAAGCTTCAAAATCTATCTGAAAACGTATCGTTTCGTCTATGGTAAACGCTACAAGAGAGTAACGTCCGATTGAGAGCGCATTTTTACTTCATCCTTTTATATATGTATCATACTTGTGGTAGATGCGAAAACTGATGAAACCTTTCCTAGGCTATTTTTCAGGATGCTTAAAAATTCGAGATCTCTGGTAGGAAATTTAGCTTTAGGCACTCCTGTTACACTTTGAAGAAAAACTAAGGTAATACTCGCTATGAGCGCATTAAACTACATCGATTGATATGTAGCTCAACATACCTATTTAAAAAAATTTTCTTGGAAAACGATTTTTCAAGTAGTATACTGTCATTTCTAGTCAAATGAAAGCCGTTTCTGAGCAAAAAACCGTATGCCCGCCTGCTTATGCTAAAGCTCCTCACTGTATATTGGTGCAGCAGAATGAATCCATATTTTCTTTAATCAAACTGTTCATCATACTTTTTACACATTTAATAGAAAATATTAGAATAACATATAATTCTTCAAATGAATTTCTTTTTGAAACTATCTTATTAAACTTATTGTTTTTTGAAATGGTATTGTTTCTTATTTTACTTTGCTCATACTCATTATCCAGAAATTTTCATGGAACTCAACAGTGTTTGAATACATTTACTACAAATATATTGTGATAGTTTATGGATAACAGATTCTATGTTGGATTTGTTGTTAATTTACCAGAATAAAATATATCCAATATAGCATCGTTATCGTAGTTATATGTTTGATAAAATAGTTTTTGTTTCACTAAAATTTATGTATACTGTGGGAGAGCCTGCAACATTATTGTGTTTTTTTTCATTCATTTTATTCAATGAAGAAAACAACTTGCTTGTGTAACATTGGCACTACGATGAATCATAATGATTGATTGTATTTTGATGTATTAACAGCAAAATAATAACCTTGATGATCTGTAACAATATATCTTGCTGAGTGTGTTAAGAAATCATTGGATCGTAAAGAACTTAGATAACTATATATCATTATAGCATTTCCTAGTATCGTTTCTTATATATACTGGTATTGTGCTTTAGAAATAGATGCAGTCTGAAAAAATGTGAATGAATATTGATGTGTCACTTTTCATTTCAATTCATAAATTCGTCAGGTATCGTTCAGTGTTATTTGTTCGAGTAATATTGTGATGAATTGAGAATTACACACGATCATCATTCATAAATACCATCCTTCTTCTCATCATCATTATCATTATTTGCCCAATAAAATCCAATAAAAATTACAAAATTCTTTTCAAACAACACGTCGAAATTTCTTTATACGAATATTTAAAACTTTGTAAAAAATCAAACACCTTCGATATTTCGGAATTGAATGAAGAGTTATTTATTTCTTATGATAATTGTGTTATTGATGAATTCTGACCAAAAAATATTTATTGTTTAAAACTATTTGCTACATTCGTCTGAAGTAATTTTTAAAAACATCTTATTTTCTGTTTTTCTTTTGTCTATTTCTTGTATTAAAAAAGAAATTAAAATATTGAATATGTATGTAATATCCATAAACTTTCAATTAATAACTCATGTGATTTATGCAAGACAAACCAGCATATGTTATCTTTCCATCTGAATCAAAAGAAAATCTAAAATGAAAACATAAATCATATCAGACTTAAAAATATCTGAACTGCTACAATAGATATAGATTATAACAAATGACTAGAAACAATCTGGTGGAGTGTATAAGCAACAAAAAATATATTTTTCATGTTTCTCAATTGGATAAGAACGACGTGCATAATAGTCGATTACAGCTTTTTCCGCTGCTGATGCATTTATCCAATGAGCTTGACAATGATTCATAAATTATAGGACTGTTTTAGTTTTCTAAAGCAATCTATTCTACTTTGAGTTCTTAATGAAACTATATATAAAATTATGATTTTCACATGTTTCCATGACATCAATATTGAATAGTTGCTTGATATATTACGAGTTGATAAGACGCGAATGATTTTCTCGAAAGTCAAACAACTTGAGTTGGAATATCTCTAATATCTAATATTCAATTATAATCTAACGTAATGAAAATGACTAGATTTGAGATGGTCTATTTTAATTGACATAATATTTGATTTTGCTTATGACAAAGTGGACAAGTAGTTGTTTTTCCTTTAACATGTTTCCATTTGTTCATACAATTTTCATGCATTGATTTACCACATGAATAAAAACATGTTACTAATCTTCTATTTTTCATGAGTAACCGTTCAAAACATATTGGACAAACATCATTATAATCAATTGATTGACGTTTAAAAGTTAAAGGAAGTTGTTCTTTTTTATTTAAGGGTGATAATGGCGGAACAATCGAACAAAGTCGACGACTTTGTCCTTGAAAAATATGTTCTAACTCAATATTAGTAAATCGATGATATTCCATAATTGAAAGACGAAGATCAGATGAATAAAGATCAACATTAAAAATACGTTTGAGTACAAATAGAAAGTGTTTACAAATATCATTTTTTTGAAATTGTTTACATGAACATGATAAATGATAACTAATGATGATTTTATATCGGTGACGATTATTTGTATAAATCCAACCTTCAAATCGATCTGAGGATGAAAATTCATGTTGAATTAAATAAAAATGTCGTGTTAACATTTGATCAAATGCTTTATCAAAAATAATTTTTTGATGATTTGATAATATATCTTTGATGGAATCATGATGTTCAGACGAACAAGAAGAAGATAATGATGATGATGATAAACATGACTGCTAAATCAATTTTAAAAAATTTAACATTTTCTTTTTACGCATTGGAAATTTCTTACACGTACTTGTTGTCTATCATCATTCAATGATGATAGATAGATATTTGCATGGGCTTCACTCTCTTGTAATTGTGTAACCGAGCTCATTGAAAAAGTAAATATCTCAAAAACGAAATAAAGTATTCAAAAACCATGTGTTAACAAGAGGAAATGGCAAATTCAAATCAAATTTTTCTTTATGGTTTAATCGCATGAATCAAGTTATTGAAAAGTCATCAAACGATACAGTAACGATTAACATAACAAAATACACACAGATATTTTGTACTGGAAGTACAAGATTCCAAATAGTGAACATATGGTTTATCTACTGTGTTTTCTTGTATAGTGCATCATATTTCTTTGGGCTATAATCAATGTTATAGTGTTTTAATATCTAACTAAATTAAAAACATGAATGATAATTTCTTGGCACATCCAGTTCTCTTACAATCTTTAGTGATGTTCAGACTCGGTGTTAATAGTATATAAACCGTTATTTACCAAGTACTACCTACTTTCCTTTCGCTTCTACTGTACTAAACAGCAAAAGATTGAAAAAAAATGACTTGTCTTGTATTGTAGTTTCAGAAACTTCTGATTTCCCTTATCTTCGAATGACAAGACCAAGTTGATGCAAAAATATTCATGTTCAATAGCTTGAAGTCTTATTTGTTTACTTGTTATCCACATTCTAGATATTCTCGAAACACTTATCAAAAAGCCAACTAGAGCTAATAATTCGACTGTCAAGCAGACGATTAGTTATGCTAATCACAAATAACTTGTCTAAACTTAGTTTATTGTTAATAACAAATCTTGATTGTGAAATCATCTTTTGATTATACAAAGGATTCAATTAATTTGTCTAAAACAAACCAACATAAAGAATAGATAAAATATTCTTCTCAATTTTGAACATGCAAATGTTAAATTTCTTGTTCAATTTTTTATGAGCGATATATCATATATTATTTATCAACTATGAGCATTATCATAGCTCATTAATGATGATTGATTTCAGTGTATATAAGATCATTTAATTATCTATATTACTTCACTTTTCAACAAGACAGAAATGTTTAATTCTGGATAACTTTTAGTTCTCGTTGAATGATATTCAACAACTATAGACAAAAATTAAGATTTAAAAAAAAAAAACATGTCTTTTTATTTAAACTAGAAAAAAAGCGAATCACAACTTCACTTGGGCACTTTCATTTTGTTGGTCTAATATAAGAAGAGCATTTTCAAATCGTTTTCGTACAATATCCGATCCAAAAAAAGTTGCTATTTCATGAACAGGTGGTCCTTGTAAACAACCACATAAAACTAATCGCCATATACGAAATATTTGTTTATTTGTAATTTTATTTGGTTGATATTTTTTAATAAAATTTTTTACATCATCATGTGTAAAATGAATCTGATTGAAATTATTTAATGTTTGTTTAATAACAAATTTAAATTGTTCAATATTATCAATAAGATCTTGTTTTATTTCTGGTTCTTTCCATAAATATTCATATAAATTATTTGTAAATAATTCATCAAGTAAAATAATACGAAAATCAATCATATTTAAAACTTTTTCAAGATAATCATTTTGTAATTGTATTGAATTTATAGAATTTTTCTCTGGATAATAATGAAGAACTTTTTGACGAAGTTCTTCAATAATACGTTGACGACCTTCAATTGATTGTTGATATTCACGTTTTAAATGTGCTCGTTGACAAAGAGATAATTTTTTAAAATCAACTATAGCTGCATGTCGACTAAATAATTTTATATTAAATAATGATATCATTTCATCAAGTGTTTTTCCAATAACTGTATCTTCATCCTTAAAACCACCACCACCACATAGAGTTATAAAATTTAATATAGCATTTGGATAATAACCTTTTTCACGATAATAATCAATTTCAATTGGATTAATTGCATTTTCTTTATCACGTTTAGATAATTTTCTTCCACGTTCACGTTCAAGTAATGGTAAATGACCATAAATCGGTGATTGCCAATTAAAAGCTTTATAAAGTAGTAAATGTTTTGATGTTGATGTTTGCCATTCATGACCACGTAAAACATGACTTATATTCATTAAATGATCATCAATAACATTTGCTAAATGATATGTTGGATAACCATCTGATTTAAGAAGAATAAAATCACCTTCAGTTACATAAGGATTATGTTCATGATGACCATAAACAAGATCTTCATAAATTTGAATTCCTTGATTATCAGTTGGTAAAGAAAAACGAATTACATGTGGAAGTCCTTGTTGAAGATATTCATCTAAAACCGAATAATAGCATTTTATTTAAAAATATAAAAGATAATTTAGAAATTCTATTAGAATCAATCTATGAATACGAAAAACTGACTGTCTTCGATTGTTTTGACATGCCAAACAAATTATAAGGCATTAATCGAATCCTCAACTAGAAATTTTCAAAAGTTCAATATTGGATCTGAGTTTAAATTTCTTTATAAATAGCAACAATCGGACATTTTTCATTTGAATCTCCTTTGCTTTTCATCATCTTGATTCGGAAAAGATTTTTAATAGATTAATATTGTCAATAATAAAATCTTTCAAAAACTATCTATTTTCATATGAAATGTTCAATAGAAAAGTGTGTCATACTTTGTTGCTTTTCTGTTAAATGTTTACATCGTCCATCATATCTATATGGTTGCGAACGTCGTTTACATTCATGTCTTAAAAGTATTAATCGATCGACAGAACAAAAACATCGATAAATGTGTGGTTCATTTTGATGATTTAATTTGCCAAATAATGTATTTAAATATTTTCGATATATGTCAACACGTTCAGATTGTATAACAGGTGATTCATCTGGTTGTAAACGTGTCCATTTAAGTATGGATTGTAGTTGTTCTTTGGAACCGGATACTATACGCTCTCGATCTGTATCTTCAATACGTAAAAGAAATTTTCCATTAAATGATTTTGCAAATAAATAATTATATAAAGCTGTACGAAGGCCACCAAAATGAAGGTGCCCAGTAGGTGAAGGAGCAAAACGAACACGAACAGAAGACATTTTATTTATTGTTTTGATGATGAGGATGATGAAGAAGCAGTACTACGTTGAATTTTTTGCATACAACGACGAAATTCTTGCATTTCTTTTGTACAATTTCGCCAATCTTTTTTTTCAATATAACATTCTTGCAATTTTTCGTGAAATTGATAACAACCAGTTTTACGAATAGCTGACGTCACTTGATCTTCGTCTTCGTTATTATCACCTGATGATGATGATGATGATGCTTGATTTTCTGCGGTTTTATTTTTCGATGGTGGATCAAGAACGACAGTTGGCATGGGAAAGTTTCGTTTAGTTAAATGAAATCGAACTTTATATTAAAAAAAAATAAATATAAATGAAACTCTCTTCTGATCTCCTATTCGTTACAATGAAGTTATTAAAATAAACTTTGTAATCAGTGAATTTTTTATGATTTTATTTATTTCAACTGAAAATCTATTTATTATTAAAATTTATTTATTCATAATAAAATCAAGATGTCGCCATAAATCAGTATTTCTCCAAAAACTAATCAATCATGTTTCATAAAAGTATGATGTTACTATAACACATGTTTGGCGTGACAGATATGTACTACTCTATCATTTTGAAGACAGTACAACAATATGATAATTGGTGTTTTCTTTTTCATAATAAAAAAAAAAACATCCAACTTCTATATAAGGATCTGTTTCAGTGAGAGAATGCGCCGTTTGATCCCGTCAGGATGATTAAAAGATTCTATCAAAAAAACAACCAAACTAGATATATGTTGTATTCTTAATGACATTATATTTTCTCAGGAGATTCTTTCTGATGTAATACAAAATTATTATGACATATTAAGCAAACGTAGAAAAGGTTAAATTATGATTAGAATGAAAGCATTAACTTGTGTACCAGTGACATAATACTTTGTCATTGACTATTTAAATGATATTCCACTAATTTATTCGATTGATCATTAATCGATTAGTAGAAAATGAAAAATTTTTTGTTTACTAATGTAATTGTCTCTTTTAAAATGAGTTTCAGAAAGTGATACATTTTTCCATTAGAAAAATTAAACGTTTACGAATTGAATTCGGTTCAAACTTAAAAATAAGTTTTATACCAAAATATTCAACTAGTTTGCTACTGAAATTCATCAATGCGAGATAACTGATGACAATCCATATATTTCTTTTCTTGCAGTTCCATTAAAACATAAGCCAAAGTCAGTGTGTCTAGTTGTTGATTTTACTTATTCCGATCACAACAACACTTTCCATAGAAATATTCTTTAGCTAATATCTTCGTTTATTAGATTAAATAAGACTATATAACGAAATTTGAACTTAAGATATGATTGATTCGTCTGAACTTGAAGCTAATATTTCTAATCAAACTGAATGAAAGCTCCATCAAATTTATTTAATCAATATCCAAACATTTAATTATCTATATAGTTCTCAACATGAGTCTTTATTCAATCAAAACAATTCAATTGGTAGTAAATATCGATATTAATCAATTATCATATAAAATGCTCAATTTAACATTAGTTCAAAAAAAAAATAACATTAATCGACCTTGACGAACTTTCAATATCTTTTTTTACTCCCAAAACAGATCTATGCATTTATTTTATCACTGTAAAAAATAAGACGTGAACAAAATAAAATAAAACTTATCAACATTGACTAATAATGAACAAAACTATGTTTAATAATAAAAACGGTGTAGACAACTGATATGCTTGATTTTTTTTAGTTATTACTTCTGTTGTAATCGTATTTGATGACTTATGTGAAGACCCAATATGACGTCTAGCTATTGAACACCAAAAAAAAAAAAAAAAAACTTTAAATTGAAATTTTTATTTCAATATTAACTTACATGATTCATCATTATCATTATTATGAATATTCATTGTTGTAGAAGATAAAGTTGTCATAACTAACGATGATGTTGTTGAAGGACGACTTTCTGTTATATATTTCATATGTTTAGTCGATTGAACTAATTCTAAAATCAATCATTAATTCCACAGAATTATAAATAAAAAAAAAAAAAAAGAAAATTTTCAAAACAAACCTTTAAGAATAAATTCTGCATGAGAAATTCCCATTGAATTTCTAGCACGACATACATATGCTCCAAAGAATGATGAATCACTTAACTAATAATATATAACGGAAATAAAAATCATATATACATATATATTCAATAAAGAAAAATAAATTCAAATCTTACATATAACGTTATTGTTAGTTGTCGACATGTTTGATTAATAAATTCATCAAACTTATCTTTAACACCATTCATAATAGGAGTTACTTGCTTTGGACGAAAAAAATCGAATAATATTGGTGATGGTATTGAACAAGCACGACATGTAATTGTTGCTGAATCATATAAACGGAAATAAGATAAATGAAACGGAACTGTAACTGTCGGTTTATCTAAATCACATATATTCAGGATATAAAAAGAAAGAAAACTTGAACATACATTTAACATGAAGAAGAAATTGTCGATTGACAGTACTCAATGTATTACTTGCTGAACAATCGACTCGACCCGAATCAAACCGTGAAATATTACGTAAGATAAGAATGCTCTCATTTTTACCCGTAACTAAATAAATAAAGATGCATGTATGACAGGATGTCAATTTTCTTTTCTTTAAACTATGACATACTTGTTGTAACTGTCGCTGGCCTCGATAGACCATTGACATGCCAAAGAATAACGGGTACTGGTCGACCGGATGCTGTACAAGAAAATCGAGCATTTCGACCTTCACGTACTGTCATACGCATATGTTCCGGTGAATGAGAAATAATTCTTGGTGGTACTAAAAAACAACATAAATAGATACTTAAAAGAATAAGAAAAACATAGAACGTGTTCGATAAAATCTTGTCTCCAGATAGTGTTCATCGACAAACTAATGCGATGGACGTGACTTATAATCAATGTTGACTCATCAACATCATTATCGAATGCACATATGTATTATGATCAAACATATATATTCATTTTCTATTTAACTCGTCGATCACATTAATTTCTTTGTTACGTTTATTGTTGTCTAGAGCACGATCTAATAGACTTTTTCATTTAATGCTCCATCAAATGATCATTTGCGTGTCTTTGTTTTTTATGTTTAAGGTGTGGATATCATACTTGAAAAACAATTAGCTTATGCACAGCTGCTTTTGTACGTTCTTATAATATGAGGTAGCCCTTCCTATCACGCTCATTGACATCGAAATAAGAACACAAACGCGCATGTATATTATATATCTGTATATATATATATATTGAAGAAAGAAAAAATAAAAGAATAGATTCAATGGAGTGGACAATCAGCCAGAAGACAGATTACTAATAACAAACAGAACAATGAATAGTCGACACACAAAAAAAAACTAATTTGTACACCTTCGAGGCAAATCGTACCATTTATTTCAATGTAAATGAAGTGAAGGTTATTAGTACTATGCCTGACACTATTTAAATGACTTCCTAGAAATTTTTATTTGACAAAATAGGCACAGCCATCACTAAACGGAAGTTATAGATCTAAAATTCTTTTTTTTATTTCATAGTCCGGATATCGTACATCTTCGAAAAAGTACTACTTGATGTCATAATGTCAAATGTATCTTTTCTTATATTTATAGGTATGTCTGATAACACCCCCTATTGTATCTAAGAAGGAGGGACGACATACAAACATAAAAAAGATCCAAATGTAAACGTATGAGGCGGATTGTTTTTGTCTCTTCATGTGTGTGTGTTTGTGTTTGTGTATGTATACGTATCAACAGCACCCAAAACGAGAGAAGGTCAGTCAACAAACGCACACACACACACCTCGGACATATGTTTGCATTGTCAAAATGAACCCGAGTGACGATCAAAACAATGATATGATAAAGCACAAACATACATTTGCGCATGAAGGTTTTCATACATATATAAATAGATAGATGAGTTTGTCTATTGATTTAAGAAAACAAGAGATATACTTACTGAGTACATCAAGAAGTATTTCATTTAATGTAATATCACCACGTACACAACGATATAAACCTTGGTCCTGTTCTTCAACATTAGTTATACGTAAAATACGTTCTTCACGATCAATACTATCCATTGTAAGAATACTTAAACGACGATCTCTTACTGTTATAACGGAATCAAGACTGACAATATCTGCTCGATCATCACGAATCCAGATGATCTAAACAATAGTAGAAAAAAATAAATTAAAGATAAAAAATAAAAAGAGAAGAGAAAATTTCGTGCTGAGTGACGATTAATGAATATGTATATACGTTCACCAGCTGTGTATTGCTCATGATGTCATCGTTATTGTGTACCCCCTGGAAACTGCTTTTACTCTTTCTTTTTTTTTTCTTTGAACAATACAATACCATACCAACAATAACAAACTGTACTCAAACATATAAACACTTGTCCCTCCCAGCACTTACCTTTGCAGGATTTGCCGGTTCGCTATTTTGACCGACTGAGCACGGTAATTCGACAGTACTAGCTAAAGCTACTTGAATTGTTTCTAATTGATCAGTTTGATAAGGTTGTTGAATTAATAAAATATAAATGATAATGACAATAGACAACATTCGATAGGCATCGACGATATTGAATAGATAATATATTAAATAAAAATTATAATTGAACCTTATACTTTTTATGATTGCTTGATGTAAACTCACATACCATTGAATTCTTCAATAAAAAAAGAAAGGAAGAATAGTAGCAGTGGACAGCATCAAAAGCGGAAGTTCTTTTCGGCACTATGAGTCGAGTTTCTTTTTAGGGTATGAATATAGTAAGAAAGAGAAAAAAAATGAGAGAAGAAATCAAGTTGATTTGTTTCAAGTGGAGAGGATAACTTTTGCTATTCTCTTTCTTTCTTTTTCTTCTGACAGTGAAACAGAGAGAGAGGGAGAAAGAGGGAGAGACAGAGAGAGTGAGCGAAAGGGAAACAAAGAGAAACATTTTCTTCTTCTTTTCTTTATAGGCCTTTTTTTTGAGTGACAGCATCATAGACCAACGGTCACCCATCCATTCACCTTCTGTCATTCATCACATTTTGCCTCATATCTTAAGTAGGTTTATATACACACATATTGCAAACGATCCGCCTTGCTCACTCATACACTTTGAAAAGCTCGTTAGGGGCACGCGAACATTACATGTCAAATGATGATCGATTCAATGATATATCTATAAAGATAAACATATATTGCACGTTTGATGACTTCATTAAAAGAAAAGAAATTTACGATTTTTTTAAATATGTCTGTTCTGTTTTTAATAAAGTGATTAATGAGTCTTGTTGCACATTTTTTTCTTGTGTTCCATGATAAGTATCTTACAAGACTCTATACATTTTACAATATGTTGAAAGTAAGAAGACGCGTTCACGGACAATTTAACATGATGTTTTATTTGACTTGGTTGGGATCAGCATTCTATTTCTAGTCGTATGAGTAATTGATTTTCAAAGTTTCTTTTTCTCTTATGTCTTGTCGACACACACGATTCTAATTTGTAATATGTATATATATATATATGTATGTCTGTATGTATATGTATGACATTGGCGGAGACTACAACGGAAACTAAATGCAAATAGTGATGACGTTGAGAACGAGCTAATGAGAACGCACACAGACGGGAAAAGAATACTATCCAACTCAAATGGACTTAACGAGAAAAAAAGAAATTGACAAACAAAAAAAAGAGAAGGGTGGAGACATTATAAGAACGAACTTCTCAGGAAGTTCAATAGAACACACACTAAACATCTGGATGAATGTGTATTCATGTTTTAGATATAGATACAGAACAGCCGTCACTGTTTGTACATTCTTGAATATCGATATCAGAATAGCAGAAGCAGCCGCTTTCAATGCTTACATCATCATCGTCATCATCATACTCATCAGACGCAGCATGTCATCAGATCATGTATAGATGTACACGCACGGACAGTCCTTTCTAAATGAAGTTAGAAGAATCAATTTAATACATGTCTATTGTATATATGTTTGTCGTCGATCTGATCGATGATCTTCGTTGATGAAAAAAAAAAATAGAAAAATCTCCTGTTCTAAATGAGTCGTTGAGAAGAACAACTGACATTAAATAGACTACATGCAAAGACAATTTTAAGCTACTGTAATACATTTACTGACAAATTAACGCTTATTAACGATAGAAGCATATTTTTTCAATTACTTTCTAACCTTGAAAATAAGAAAGAAGACAAGAAGTTGTTTAATATCAATCGTTGTCTTGTCTTTTATGTCGGTAGAGTTCGTGTGAACAACATCTGTCATTGTGTGCACACATACACATCTATATATATATATCTATATATGTATACATTGGTTTGGCTTCATCTAATGTGTCCCGACGGATTAGAATCGAACCTGTTCACACACACACAACCTGTTTCTATTTCAATCAGACGTAGGTGTCTGGATGTCACGCGAGACATGGACAATCGAAATGAGAAAGCAACACTAACGCCAATGGAACTTTCTTTATGCAATTCATCATTATTATCGTCATCGTCGCTTCATCTATCCATTCTCGTAATGATTCACGTTTGATTAAACATGTGCAATGTGTTAATTTAATTCGTCGTTTTCCCTTTTTTTAGTCTCGTATTCGGTCTCGTTCTACATATATTTCATCCATTGTGCTTGGATAAATTCATGTGTGTGTGCTTTATCACTAATACTGATTCTATAGATCTTTTTAAGTTAGCGAGAAAAGAAAAAGAGTCAGATTGAATCGGTCTTAGAATGACACGATAAGTATCCACTCAAGTAGAAAAGAAATAGTATTGTCTATAGAATGAAACTGATATGATACCTTGAAAATGCGTACTATACTGTTGTGCACACAAGTTGATGCTCATTTTCTTTTTTTCTCATTCGCTTTTTGTCGACTTCCCTCTTGAGGTGGTAATTAAACGAAAGAGAAAGATTGACTTGTATGTGCATATGAATCAGGCGGAGAATCCTTCAATATGGAATGCCGGTTGACGGAAACAACGGCATACAGAATAAATAATTGAAGATGTTACCAACAAGCATCGTCAACTATCAATGCGGTTATTCGCTTCAATACTCATAAAAAAAAATGAACAAAAAAGAAAACTATTTTTAGAGTGTATTCTATATACTTTTTCAATAAAAATAATTGAAAATCTACTGTGTCTTTTAGTTAAAATTATAGGTTTCTGATGGCTACTCATGGTAAACTCATTTTCTTATTGCTCAATTGAAGCATTATCAATAGGGAGTGTCTAAAACAGACAAAAAAATGATCTGTATTTTTAATGACATCTTATCAACTATTGTTAAAGTATTATAATTCTAGTTAATATATATATCAACATTCACAAATCAATTATACTTAATAAGACAAAAAAATGATATACACATTGACTATATCAGAGATTGCAAAGAAGAAAAGAATCTTAGTATTATATTTATTATTCACAAAATCGACTCAAAGCAATTGCTTTCTTTTTCCCATTGGAAATAGATCCTATTAATTATTGAATAAATAACTCTATATTCAGCAGGTATAACATTGTCTGTTAATTATTATTATTACTATTATTATTATTCTCATATTACATTTATCATCTGTCAGAGAATGATGACAGCGAAGAATAAATAAATATTAAGACAAATCTATCTAACATAATCAAATAGATTGCGTGATGAACAAGATATGAATGAACTCTTTCGCAGATTTTCTTTTTCTCAATAACGATATTCATAATTTTTTTTGTTGCGCGAAATATTATTCGCTTGTTAGAATCAATTTAAACATCTTTTTTTTTTTATAACGCAAAATAAATAATAAAGTTGTTTATTGAAGAATAAATTTCTGATAGTTATACTAAATGATGATCATATAAAATTATGATTGTTTAATTGATGTACAGATAGGTCATCTTGTTTTTAATATTAAATGTAAAACAATATGAAATATGACATAGTTTTTTTTTGATCAATTCTTCGATTTTTTAAAAATATTCTCTCAAAACTAAAACACGTCTGTTAAATGATAATCCAAGACATGTTAGTCATATTGTTACATAATTCATGAGTAGTTTATATTTCTAACGTCTCATAGCGGTGTCAAGGGGCTTAGCCTTTCCTCTCTCTAGTAGAAAGATGTATTTTTTTTCTTCAACAATCTCACTAGAGAGAGACTCGAAGGTCTGTACAGAGGTTAAATTCTTCTAGTCCAAAGCTCTGGTTCCGGTCTTTAATATCTCATCAGACACAATGCTATGAAAAAGGAAAAAAATTCTCAATTGTTCTTCTATTGTTTAGTTGAAATGACAAATATTCGAATTTTTATAGTTTATTTATACTAATTATCAAACGTTGTGCCTTGTGATAAAATTCATTGAGAATACAATTTTTGATAAAAATCTTTCTTTTAAAATATCTTTCGAATATTTTATGCAATGTACATGAAGTCTAATTTTTTTCGAAGTCATTTTTAAAATTGTCTGATGTTTGAAGATATGCATTGCTTGTTTGTTCATAACAAAAATGAATATAAAACATCATATGATATTTCTCAATAGTCTTTCTGTATGAAAAATAAATTTTAGAAATACCTAATATCTAAATTATCATAATGGAGTGTAGCTA